GATGAGAAAACAGCGGAGTGAGGGAATTTCATCGCACCTTGCGGCATTAAAACTACCCTGGCCAGAATATTACTCCCCCACAAAGCACCAACTTTGACTATTGAAATAAATGAACAGCAAAGAACGTAAACGAAACTTGCAAGCAGAGCTGCAAATAAGCCGACCGAGCGCCATCGTGCGTTCCCGTTCAATGTTTAATTCCGCTTTATTCCTGACTAGATGAAGGAGGTTCATAACCACTGATACCGAAAACTGCTTAGAAAGGGAATTTCATCGCCAAGGGTTGCCGGTATCGTTCTTAGGGGTTAATACAAAAATCTGTATATCAAACTGCTAACCTTCTACATAAAGTTTCGCCATCTTCTGAGCTTTTCCTAAGACACTTGTAGCTGTGCACATATAACTTCCTGAGTCATTATAACCTGCAGTTCTGACATGAAGTGCAGTATCGGGACCGTCTGTTGTCACCAGTTCAGCACCATTTATTTTTCTCCAGGAGACTTTAGGCTTCGGATGACCAGTCGCTGAGCAATGAAAGATGGCGGTCTGGTTCTCGGTGACTGTGAGTGAGACAGGAGATACATTTACGTCTGGAGCAGATAAGGACTGGCCTGGTTCACCTTTCGGTCCTGGATGTCCAGGAACCCCTTTGTCACCTTGAGAGGAAAGAAACAGACAGGTAGCACACGCCTTATTTGAAGCGTAGGTGAACGGCTTACAAATGTCAGATCAAAATCATCTGGCGCAATAAAGATTGGCTCTGGAAACAGGAGAAAGCCTGCCCACCCTTTCCGATGCCTTCATATTTTACTGAGTCCTAGAGTTTTATTTGAAAATTAACCACAACATTATCTTTTCCACAGCTTAAACGTATATATACTGTAGTAAATATTTGTAGTTTTTTCAATCTTACAATTGTCCTTATAAAACCAAACTACCGTTCCACTCCTCTTTTCCCATCATTAAGAAGAAGGAACGAAAGAAACAGAGCGGGAATAACTCTTGATTTATACCTTTATCTCCTTTAATTCCAGGATTCCCAACATCTCCTTTTATTCCTTGTTTTCCAGATTTGCCAGGTGGTCCCATAAATCCTTTCGTTCCCGTTTCTCCCTTAGTTCCTTTTGGACCCCGTCTACCGCGATTTCCCGGAGTTCCTTTTAGTCCACGAGGGCCTGCCACACAGACTTTACCGGGGGAGAGGCAGTAGGTCCCTATGGACTCAGTCACAATAGAAGTCACGTACTTCTTGAATCCATTGTCGGCTTCTGCTTCATTAACGGAGTCGCTCTCATTGGAAGTTAAGCTGCGACGAACTATGTTGACTTTGTGTTCCATACCTTAAAAAATTGCAAGAGTTAATGACTTTTTGGAAATTTAAGGGAAGGTCTTTCCCCACCTTTTTTTTTTTTTTTTTTTAATTATTTATTTCGACTCGGATAATGAACAAAGGGCCTCTTGCTTTTCATGACTGAAAAAAGGAAGCACGTTTTATCGCCACATTTTAGTTCCTGATTGATCCTTTCCGGCAGAAGACGCGTCGGTAAAAAGCCATTGGTGCATTCTAAAGAATTTATTAAAAGACAAGTGCAATCTAACAAATCTGACTCAAATTGATTCAATGGGTCAAGTTACTGAAGCAAGGTCAAATCTGCGTAAAAGGAGAAGCCTCACGCCTCCCGCTAAGAGCGAATTTGTCGGGCTCCACGAAGAGTTTCAAAATACCCTTCGAGAATAGAGGAAACCTATATGAGGGTTTTGAGAAACGTATCTCTGGAGTTATTACTTCAGGACAGAAGTATACTCTGAAACAGAGAAAATAGCGCGCGCACAGAAGAAAATATTGCCTTTTGTAACACAACCTCATTCGGCTTTGCCAAACCTCAAGAACATACAGGTGGAGAATTATGACACCTCAAAACTGACCCTTATTATCACATCGCAAAGGAAACTCATCAAAAGATATCTTAATAAGAGCTCAACTTTGTGGGTAGAAGATTTAAAAGCGCTTGCGAATGGTAAGAGACGCACAGGACTATCAACACCTTTCAACGGTCGACTGCCTTTTGCTTTCCGGCTTTCCGGCGTGTCGCCTCACGCAAGGTGGAGGTTTTCGTGGATCAAGTGACTCTTTACATTGCTCTAATTAAACTGTCCTTCATTCAATGATCAAGATAGACGATTTACCGCATAACACTCGCTTTTATATTTTCCTTCACTAAGGAAGGTAGATTTACTACACGACTGATAAATGCCCTTGCAGTAGTAACGCTATGTAACGAAACGCTCTAAACAGAACAGAGGGCCTTGTCGTTCCGAAAAAGGGTCTTATAAACACTATCACTTAAAATGGATAAAACATTTGTACTGTTGGAGCGCGTTTGAGCGCGTTTGTTCAGAGCTGTTAAATATGGATCAAAGTGGCCATACAAATCTTTGAAAGGCTTCAAACTACGACGTACAACGAATCTGACATGCTCGAAAACCGGTTTCAACTTACATGTTTGTCCTTGAGAACGATATAATACGTGACAAATACGCACGAAAAATACCTCTACACATTCAGAATATATCAAATTATATATACCGATAGTGAAAGGAAAAAGAAACGGCCTAACTTTTATGGAATACTCAGTCAAACTCAACCCATTTCTACCGCTTTTACCACCATATTGCTTCCACAATGCAATGGAATCGAAGTGTGCACACCGCCTGGGCTCAGAGATGTTTTGTTTAAATCCCTTTCGACGGAGGACGGTCGGAGAAAAGCCACTGGTTGAAAGATAAACTCAATACCCAGCTGTGACTTGTTTCGCTGAAACGAGTCAAGTTTCTGATCCAAGGTCAAATCCATGTTGCTCACACTTGCCTTAGGATAATATATCACATTGGTGAAAAAAAAAATATTCTACGGCTGTTCTTTGGCTGATTAATATCACAATATACATCACAAAAACTTGTTTGGACAGATTCTCCAAGTCCATCAAAACGAATTTTCCTGGTAAAATTTGCTTGGTTTATATGTTCACATGCTGTTTGTTGACGCTTAAAACGGTCACAGCCGAATGCTCCGGGCTAGCTTTCGTATGGTTACAGCATAACCATGCTAACCAACCTGCCTAACTGACGCTTACTGTCGAGTTCAAGAGACGCACAGTTGTTTACAAAATTTTCTTCTTAATGACCTACCTTTGGAAATGTCTGAGTCTGTTAGAAGGACTTGGCGAGCAACCCTTAAAGAATCTAGAGAATCTCCCATTTCTTGAATTTTCTGCGTAAATTTTGAATCCAGAATTTTCATGTTTGTCTCCGTTCTTACAAAGAGAGCAACCGTCATCATGATGGCTGCAACAGACAGCAACGATGAAGCCTTTTGAAAATGATCACTACGTTTTTCACTGGATGGAATTTTCGTTTGGTGTGCGTCGATATCCATCGTATTTTCCCTGCGTGCCTTGCTCTAGACAATCGTCTAGGTTA